AACACACTCGTTGCGGTAATTGCGTTATGTGCTTTGGCAAAACAATCACGTTTATAAGCGAAAGCTGGTTGGTCTGCCGACAACACAACCGCAGTCGATTCTCTCTACTATCCGTGGGAGGGTGTTAAAAGTACCCTTCAGTACTAAAAAATTAATACATTAAAGTTGTGTGTGATATATATCGTTTAAGAAACTTAACAATTCAACATTATAATTTGTTATTCTGGTAAGAAAACGACCTCAGACGGTCATCTTTTACTATTCGTTAACAGGTGTTAAGTAAGAGTAAACTTAATTTGAAATGAATAGAAATGTGTCTATAAAAATGCAATCTAACTTTTCTATCAAAATTATTAATATTGAAACATGTTTTGTTAGTGTATAAAGAATTCTTTCTTCTATCGGCTTGTATAATATCTTCGACGTTCTCCCTAGTTGACCGGTAAGGAATGCTTTAAGTATTAAGCTAAGGTAGCTAGTTTCTAGAATGTAATTATTATTTTTTTACTTTTTACTAATAACCGGTAATTAGTTTGTAATATTTATATTATTTGCAATGAGATAGATACGGTCAGTCTTAAGCCTTATATTTAGTGACTCTCGCGTCTGCCATTTTCCCTGTGTGTTTTAGGCTTTTAACTTCTGCGTTAGATAGGACATTTCTTCAGTAAGATCACCTGTATCATGCTTATGTTGTTATACAAGCCTTTTTCCCGCTACTTGGCACGCGTCAATTTATTGTCTATGTATAAACTAGCTTCATGTAGGTGCAAGATTTTTTTAAATCCGTCCGTTAGTTTCGGAATCTATTCAATGCATATAAATAAATAGTCAAAGGTTTCCTCTTTGTTATATTAAGAATGTATTATATTATTATAATTAGTTCGTTTTGTAGGTACCTAATTTTATTTAAACAAATCATCAGTCACGTCAAAAAAACAAATATAAAATACCGTTATATCTTTGTATGCAGTATTAGATGTTGACAGTTTATTTCTCGACATGTTAAATCTCACGTTTAATAATAACCAGTGCCGTGCCGGTAACCATTAATTATATTTTCCCTCCTAATGACGTCATTATGTCCAAATATGATTCGTTAATAATACAAAGATTTGCTCTGTACTCTCACTGGCCAAAAAATTACAACGCTATTACCGTTAGTACAAGACATAATTTACGAAAGCTCGTAACATCTATTATTCTTTCAACCTTACAAATATATACCACCAACAAAAGGTACATTATCATTACGTGTAACCAAATGTCATATAGTCATGACATATTACGTAGAAAAATAACACATCAGTTGGAGCAAATAACTGCCATATATTTGCAAAATGAGAGGCGTCATTCACATTTTAAAGCGAGAAGATAAGATTCGCTTGAAATAGTTTTAACGTTATTGATGCGGTAATATGTCTACGTAATAAGGAGTGACTTCACAAAACGTATTAATCACTAGTACATTAATAGAATAGCTACAATAGTTTAGCATCACGCAACATTAGAAAAAGATAACGGATAGATTTATTGCTCACTACTGCTTATCTATCAATTAACTCTTCGCCGTCTGGCATATTTTTACAGCTAAAATCATGTTTTAATTACCACAATACGTTGTTACTTTCCCCTCTCTCGACTCCAGCGTGGAAAACCGCGAAAGTTAGTTCTTGTGAGCGCGCTGAGTAAACGCGCGCAAACTTACTCACACGATACAAACCTGCATCGAAATAAGAACGATTAAGTAATTCGAATATTTAAAAATAGAAGCAGCGAGTGACATCCAACAGTGTCGAATAGTGAACTAACTCTAGGGTTCTAAATTTAAACGGCATACCGAACGGAAATTTAGAACGGCCCAACGGATTGCATGTTCTAAATTTAAATGTGAGTGCAGCTGCCGGTGTGAACTTTGGTCGTAGGGATTCCGCTTTCTTTTTTCGGAAAAAAAAAGAGGTTGTTTGAATCGTTCTACTCACCGATCGAGATCCGGACAATAATGTTTTTCTTAAAATAGATCATTGTTTACGTATTTTAACTTACGACGGTTGCAGTGCAGCGTGAACTCTACTGGTATTGATCGTGATCGCGAGGCGTGGTCGGATCGATTGTTTCATAATTGCCATTGACAGTGAAAGTGTTCGCATTTAACGCATCAAAATTTGTTGGTAAATATTTCCCATTGTTTTCCACGTACATTGCTAATGTGTTTTCTTACTTTCACTCTATGCGTTGAAGTTGTTGAATACTTATGACCTGGAGGCATCGCACTCTTACCTTATGTTTTGTATATTGAATTATTATACGTTACAAGATTCTATTTCCGTTACATCACAAATTGCGTGTAACAGAGTCGACGAATAATAATCTTACATCAGTAAGTTTTAAAATTTACAATTATAAGATTATGTTTAGACATTTGAAAGCTCGTTTAAATGTTAAAGATCACGTTTTAGTAGATACTTTAGATAGAAGAAGGATATAAAGATATACTCGACAGCGGTAGAAAATACAACCCTATTATACATATATATGTCATACTTGATTTTATATTCAAGGAATGAATAAATTTAAACTCCTTTTCAATTCCAAGAAATATTCTTATTGAAAAATGTTTAAAATTCGAACCCACAACCTTTAGCAATCCGGGCGACTGCTCTAACCACTGAGCTGCATAGGACCTAACAGGACTGACGAATTTTTCAAACACTTGTGACATTTCGCTACTACAGACCGTATTTTAACCCAAACAGCCGAAATAAATATTTTTAAACTATTATATATTTAAATATTTTTGTTGTAATTATTATTTTAATCAATTTTGAATTCAGTATAGCCTTGTGAATGCAAAGTTGAGCAAATACAATAATATCCTTATAAACATAAATGTGTATGGTGTGAATAGATATTTAAGCTTTTTCTAAAGACTTTTTAGCTAAGAATTATTGCAAACTAAACATCCTGGTATTGAAACTGACATGACTATTTAATTATGCAATACGAAAGAGCGCCACTTAAAAAGAACCTAAGGCATAGATAGTTATATTCCGTGTGATATTAGAATATTTTGGTTACATCAGGGAAGCATTTAAATTGCAATAAGCGCACGTCCGGACTGTTAGAGGAAGCAGTAACTACTCACCACACGTAACAGAGAAAGTATTCCTGGTGTTTACACGCCTCAATCTAGATCTGGGAATAGACATTTAAATTAAGAACACCACCATTAGAATATTGGCTGTTCACAGTTGATTTTATTCCGATTGTTCTTCATATTCGAAATTTGAAATCATTATCGATATTTAAGATATTCGAAATTTAAAACAGAGCTTAATAGAAAACAAAAACAGACATCTTCTATTACGCTTTTTGTGCTGAAATTTATATAGTAAGGTTTATAGCAGATAATTACATATTACATAAAAGTATAACTGTAGATTAGATTATCTAATACTAATGGGATATCTGTTCTTAAGATAACTTTATGAATGTTTATTTTCCACTTCTATCTTATGGATCTTAGTATGTAAACCTTCGTAAATGTCATTGTATAAGTATGCATTTTGTTCATATTTTTAACTGATTTCAAAATCCAAAAGGAGGTTATATGTTCGACAGCGACGATGTCTTTTTTACCCGATTGCGCGACGCAAGGGAGGGTAATGTGTTTATCAGTCTATGTATGTATGTTTGTTTCTATGTGGCGTTCTAGAGACCAAATGCGTAGGCCTATTTTAATGATTCTTACGTCAATCTATTCGTCTCAACCTTGTGAGTGTCACTAAAGACATGACATTAATCAAAATTAATAAAAAATCGATGGACTATGTCAAGTGGGGTATTGATGAATAGGTATTTTCATCTTTAGGTTTCTTTCATAATTTTTCATTTTAAATAATAGTTTAGGATAAATAACGGTTTAAAGTTGTTTAACAAACGATATTATCTCCCTCAATGAAATGACTAGATAATACAGACCAGAACGACTCACAGTCGGGGCCCATTCAAATTTTACTAATCAAATCTCCTAATCTAATCAAATATATGTATTGAGAAATTAAAAATATTAGTATTTAATGGAATATGTCACAGTACCCGGAGCTGGTGATAAGGAATAAGAATATTTTTCAGAATATGTTTTGCCATTATAAATAATGATGAGATAAAATTTAAAAAAAAAAAACGAATTTTAAAAAATACGTGAAAAAGTTAGCTACTATGACTGTCGCGAATAAGCAATAGATAGGAACCAATAGGAAGAATCTTCTATATTGATTTCCGCATAATAATACAAGTCCACCAAGCTCGAGAATATCACCAGAGCGTCCAAAATCTCACCAACCGCGTCGACGAATCATGAAATAAGGTTTAAGATACATTTAACGGACTCCGAAACGTTTAACAGTAAAATTCACTGTGTTATGACGGCGTCGACTTACTTTCAAATTGTACAGTTAACTTTATATAATACTAGTAACATTGTTTCTAATCGTTAGGCAATTAAGCCGGGTATTTAACAAATTATTTTGCAACCACTTTCAGAGATAACATCGAGTTGTTTTGGCCTGATCGACATTATATCTCATCATGTTGATAGTTATCTTGTGCTATTTCCTTTGCACTATTGGAATTACATATTTTTATCTATATGAAACATCTTAGTGAGGTAGTTAAACGATTCACTACTTAAAAGCTCGATTTACTCTCGATTATATCATAGTAGTATCTATGTGCTGCAGTGTAAATCTTAAGCAAGTTCCCCATGTGTGTCTTGATAACACTACGTTTGATGTGATCTATGAGGTTTTATCGACCAACCTAACGTGTCCTGCGCTGAAATATCTTCATTGTATATTCCCGTCTTGAAACAGATTTAGTTTCTAAAAAAATTATTTTAAAATAAGATAAAATCACTACCAAGTCACAATAATTCTATGGGAAACTAGCATTTTCCACTTTCTTGATAATAATTTTAATATTTCGTGTAATTGTTTCAGACGACAGACAGCGCAGACTTCCTGGCAACACGTGCCCATACTGCGGCGGTCATCCCGGGCAAGCCAGCGGCCAACCCGCTACAGTTCGTGCGAGTTGGTCCTGCCGACCTCGGCAGTCGCGCACGCGAGCAACTCCGCAGGGCGGAGCTAGCCAAGCGAACAGAGCCCGCAAGGATCGAAACACAGGAAGACTGGCAGTCTGTAAGTACACGCTTAATAGTTATCCAGCTTTTGTAAATAACCAAATGAAATTGAACACGTATTGAATTAGCAAAAATAATTTACTGTAAATTCATGGCACTACTGTATCAAGTATTGGATATGGGATTGTTGTTTGACTTAATCTGTGGCAATTTTGACTGTCCAGAACTTTTGAGGGGTTAGCACTTCGGGTTCCTTCACTTCGTAGCAGGCACACTTCTTTTTCCTCACTCCCTTTCATTCTACTATGTTAAAATATTGATACTGTTGATCCATTCATAAGAACTAAACGTTCTTTTAAATAATCTATTGTGAGGCTTTTGAAAAATCAGAATAAACAAAAGGGAAACACAGACTATAATATGAGACTGTTGTTTGTATGTATACTCTTTGATTTCCAACTTTGTCGCAGGAAAACTGTAATTGGCAGTATATTAAGGATCTGATCAACTTAATGTTAAAATTATGTTGTAGAATTCCTGTAATAAAACAAATAAATAAGTTGAAGTTTTTATGTTGAACAAGAAACGTAATAAAAAAACACAGCAAAAGCTACACATGTAACTAACCGACTAATGTCCAATATGTTTCAGTACTTTACCACTGAAACCCTAAAACCTATTTATCCAATTTCAAATACAGATGGAAAGAAAAATGTAAAGTATAAAACTGAAATCTACACTAAATTCTTTGAATAAAACTACAACGCAGTTTAGTTAAGAATAAACGCCATTTGGTAAAGCAAAGCTGAAAGTTTTTCTTACTGCATTTTATTTTTAAATTAAATCTAATTATTTATTGGCCATAAACTCAGAAAGTTTCACTTTCTTTTACAATTCAAATTTAATATTAAGGTCTTAATCATGCAAGTCAAATGATTATAGGAATGTCAAGGAAATTATTATTATTATTATCGATTTTACATTCACAATGCTAGACTGGAAAATTTTCTCATTAAATAATGCTAAAAGATCCACTTTCCCCTGATACTTTTCATCAAGAAGATTATTTTAACAATTCATATTAATCAATTATATCATGAATTCATGAAGTATATTAAATTCTATCTCCATAAATACAAATTTTCATCGATATAAGTCCAAAAACAAAGAGGTTTCATACAAACTTTTAAACACCCTTCGGCGTGGAATTTCCAAATATACCCTCCAAATTTCAAGTCTCTATGACCAGCGGTTTAGGCTGTGCGTTGTCTGTCAGTCGGTATGACGTTTTCTTTTGTAGTGATAGATATGCACCATACTTCATAATTGTCATTTTACGAACTCATTCCCAAGTATTGGTAGGAATAACTTACTTCAACTTTTAATTAGAGATCTTTTTATAAAATTAACTCATAAGCAAAGTAGGTGCTAATATAACGTTGACCTTATCACCTTGAAAAGCTAAAGCACTTACTTTTCCAATCACCATGGTAAAAGGTGTGATATCAACTTTCATGGTAATTTTCAATTTGACTTGTAATCTTGTGGTGTCTCCGGAGCCCTTCGAATTTTGGATCATCTGCCTGCTATATCCTATGAAAGTGGGCCAAGCTCGGTTTTCAATGTAATCCTGCGGCTTTAAGTAATTGCTTCAGCTGAATTATGCTACATTAAGCCCTTGCTGTCAAATGGTGGCATACGTTTTAAATGATTGCGTAGGCGAGGCATGTCTTTAATAGACCGCCATATTATGGATATTTATAATGTTGACATAGAAACTCTTATTGCTTTATATCATCAACCGCATGAATGGTCTAATCTAAATCGATGAAAGCGGTATAAAGCTCTTTAATTAAAATTGCAAGTCTAGACTAGCTAAATGCGCTATTTTACGCTATTTTATTTGTAGGCGACTTTAATCTTCATGGAACTAAAAAACTAGTTATGAAGAATCATAATCAGGTTAATTGGTAACAGAATCCATTTATGACTTTCTTTTCTTGTTGCGACCTAAAGCCCATAATAAGCTTCCTTGAAATATTGATGAACTTTTGTGCAGTATATTTTATTTCTGTAGTGAAATTTATCGGTCGTAAATTTTTTAAGTTTATTATTTTCGTTGAGATTTGTAAGTGCATTTTCTCGTAATTTACGATCGTAGACGTACTTGCGATATTGTACCCAATCTCAGTATAATTGAAAGGCATCATGACCGAAGAAGAATTAAAACCACCAACGTAGAAATTTATTTTTATTACAGAATCTGAGGGCCTACTCTGTTCGTGCACGAAGGAAATTTCGGCAAATTTTAGATCGTTCTTATAATTTTGTTGATATATAGGTAATATCTGTGAAGATTGTCTTTGCATCACAAGCAGTGTCAGATCCTTACTCTTTTTTATCATAAATTATCGAAAAAAAGGGATTCATTACAGTTATATTAGTGTTTCGAAAATAGACGAAATTTCGTTTTTCGTGAAACAGAGTAGACCTTCTGTTTCGTCCATTTTACCAATCAATGAAGGTGTAATGCCACTACACTCTTCTATTATTTTAGCAATTATGTCAACAGTACCATTATTAGTCACTGCAGTATCGTTCCTTGCCTTACAAGCAACATACCCCATTATCCATTGTTTGCTTTTTAATTAACCATTTTAACGTAAGCTCGTTGATAATGTACACGGCATTATGTGTGTTTACCTTTGTCAACACGCCGGTTATAGCCTCTTTGGTATTCCCGCCGTTTCCCGTAGCGGAAATACGTCGCGGGACGTCGTCGTCGGCTAGAGAATGCGCCGTTTCCGGTCTCTCAGAATTGGCGTTTTTTTTCTCTACCCGCTAGCGAAGACATCTTATTAACAATATTAGTGTGCCATAAAAATTCTTGAAAGTAAAAACTATAGGATATAGAAAAACGTTTATTTCAAAGATGTCATTGAAATTTAACTTGTTACTATTTCTGTGTTATCCATGAAAAAAGAAATATTATTGAAATTTCAAATTCATTTATTTCAATCCACATAAGATCATTTACATTACAGATCATTAAACATTCAGTTAAAAATATAAATAAAATCAAATTCCACAAATTTAAATTACTTGTTTTGAAATTAAACTAAAATTAAATTAATAAAACAAGATAATAAATTATTAATAAAAAATTTTTTTTTTTTTTTTTTTAAATGAACTTAAGTAAATTAAATTAAATCATAAAATAAAATATTATTAATAATACGCCTCTGCAAAAATTATATCGCTGTTAAAACTTCAACTCTGTTTCAGTACGCCACTATAATTTACTTTAATGGCGGTCTATTAAAGACACTTTTGTAGTATTTTTATTTGCACGTCAAACCAGTAATATATTTTTTAATGGTCGCATTATTGGTGCAATTACTGAGATTGGCATAGTTAACTGTCTGAAGCATGAAACTAAATAGTACATTGTGTAATAAGAATATGGACTCAAAAGTGTCGGTTTCAAGTCGGATTTGATAGCTGTGGCAGATTCTAGTTGCGTCATTGTGTGGTTTAAAATAAAGGTAAGGTGGTTGTGTTACAGGCTACGTCATTATTATTGACTATACAAATTGTTTCGATAATACTACGAATGCCATTTCTTTGTAGAAAATTCCCAATTGATATGATAATCTAATTTCCACAAAACCGATAAAGACTTGTGTTGTGTTCTTTCTAGATGCTGAGTATCATGGCATGCTATCATGTATAATAATTCGTTATTCTCTATAGTTACCCCTACAGGTGCTATATCCACATCTCTAATAGTCTTCGTATTCTTATAATAATGTTTACCTCAACGTGACAATTATTTTCCCAAGTCTATCTCACAGTATACCTTTGTATTCAATCTTCGACGTGCTGTGCAAAGCGAAATTAAGAAAAAAAAATCAGACGTCTATTAGCACGCAATGTTTATACTCTACGTAACGTCTAAAGTCATACACGCCATATGTCCATTAGTATAAGAGTCATTTTCTTGTAATTGCTTTTGTGATAATCATGGCTACTGCACTCTGCAAATGTCCTTAGCACCAATGGAGAGTGACGTCTTTTGTGTTAATAAGTCACGTCTAAAAGCGTTTTCTAAGACAAACAAATGAATAACCATTGCCCATTGTAGAAAGGAAAAGTTGTTTAATATATTAATCGAGCCTTTATTAATAAAACATTAGAGGTCGTATTGATCTTACAAGTATTAATATTTGTAGACTCGATAGGCTCTCACGGGTGCCGATTACATGTATAGTTTGATAGTCGTCGTGTTTTTCTGAAATTTGTATTATTTGTATTATATGTCTACCCTCCAATCCGCATTGGGCCAGCGTGGAGGGTCATGGCCCATCCTCCTTAACCATCCATAAGGAAGGCCTGAGCCCCTGCAGTGGGGACGTAAAAGGATGATGATGATGATATGTTTTTTTCAGACTTCCTTGATAATATAATCATTGTCATAACTTTAAATAAGGTACCTTCTTCGTTTCTCGGTGAAACCTGTATTTACTGTATATTAACTTGTCATATGTTATGACCACGTATATGTTAAAAATTTTGTCTTTAAATAAAATTTTTAGATTTTTTTTATTGGAGTCCGTGGCCTAGACATGCTCACGCCGGTTTCAAGCATCGCCAAGACTGAATTTCTAGGTTCCTGGGCGGGTCAATATAGAAATTGAACTCTTATATTGTCTCGGGTCTGCATGTTATGTTACCTTTGTTGTTCCACATTTCCATAATTCAAGTGCTTTAGCTACTTAATTTGGGATCCGAGAAATGTTCTAATGACCGATATGCGTGGGACTGCCTTCATAATCAGCCTATTAATAACCCCACTGATGGGCACAGGCTTTACTTGTTGATGGAATCCAATAGGGAATGTGGAAATCCATCACCACGTGAGATGTTAACAACTGCAGATGTAGCCTTTTAGTTACCATCCCTAGCACATCGCTCGAGATGACTATTTTTTGAGCATTTATCTTAAGACCGGGCTTCGTACCTTAGACCGAACGTGCCAATGAGCCATTGAGGTCCTCTATAGTATGTGTTACATAGTAATTCATGTAGGTTTCGTTTAAGCATTCCGTTTATTTCCGAAGATTGTGGGGTACAAACACCATCCATAAGAATAACCTGATGCTGTGGTTCGTAACCTTTTACATACCCACTACAGGAGCTTGCTGATGATGATATAGGGTACAAACAAACAAACAACGTTTGCAATTTTACCTCTTTTTAATATAAGTATGGTAAGGAACCCTTCGCGGGCGAGTCTGACTTCGACACTCGATATCATGCTACACGATGCGTCGGTGGCCTTGTTTGATCTTGTACTTATTACAAACTATTATTACATTTTCGATAGGTGAAGGTTATTATTATATATTGTCCGCGTGTATATAGACTAACATTGTCTGTTAAGAATTTACCGACAAAAAATGTTGATGTTATCTCGTCTATAGAAGTTTGTTCGTAGATTAATAAATAAATCGTTAATTAATAAGGGCTGTTAACTATGTATCGAACACGGGACCTTAGGGATGGCGACGACACCTCTGAATTGCTTGCAAACAAATAAAATATAATGAGTATTTTCTTCTCAACTCGTACTTTGACCACGCCCCTACTATTTAGGAATTTAGTTTTTAAATCTGTATAAATACCCACCAAGTTGAGCTATTTATTTATTTGCATCGTAACAAGAGAGTCATAAAGTTGTAATTGCATCACGATCGCACGTTCACAGCTGGATGGTAATCATTTTAATTGGGATAGGTCATGAATTTACTAGTGCGAATCGAAATCAAAGTACCTACTACGACTGAACGCACGACCGTTGATTTGCTTAATAGATTTTTCTTATCGACTGTCTACAAAGCTATCAAAAAAAACCCGTCCAAGTGCTAGTCGGATTGGCGCGTTGACTGTTCCCCACAAATATCGAATGTTTATAATTATACACTTCTATTAAGTGAGATGGGTGGCAATTCCCAATTTGCGCCAATATTTAGATATTCAACTATTTACTTTAAAAATGTATTTGTGAATATCACAACATATCCTGATTCGCGTGATACTATAATATAGATGCAATATTTTTTATTTTTTTATTTACGCCAAAAACTGACCTTAATAAATTTATACGTACAGATTTCATATTCATCAATTTTTGGGACAATCGCCATAGTTGTTTCAAATCGATGGTGAAAGACGGATAAACAAATAAACATAGACATAGCAATTTTTTGCCTTTCATATAAGGAACGCTGAAAAGAGTTAAACATTTCGAATTGACTTGACCACATCGAAGAATGTTGCTTAGATCAAAGCAGTCACGAAAACTACATCATAAGTAAGAACGTTACCTCAGACTTATTCATTGGTCGAAACAATGAACTGTAATCACAACAATACCGCTTTAATGCCTTTTGTAAATAAAGATCTATTTAAATCAATGTCCGAGATGTTACTTTCAATTGTAAATCAATTGTTACTATGGATTCATTGCAGTCGTGCTATGAATTTCAATGGGGTATCTATGAAAATCTGAATCTTTGCCTATATCAATCTGACGAGATAATCTCTAAGTTATATACAATTTGTGTCATTTTCAAGCCCGTATCTTAGTTATTTGGAATTATTGTCCTGTCGTAGTTTAATTTTCTGTCCTCCGAATCTTTCTCCTTCCACAAATATATTTTAATTTCATAAATGATTACCAAACTAAAGTTAAATATTCTAAAGCTTATGAAAAAGACAAAGTAAAAAATCTATATACAAATTTTTGTGTGCAAAAGGGAACTATTGCATGTTAGTGACACAACAACAGAAACTATGTAGATAACTGACCAGTCAAAAAAGTTGTAAGAATTACTGTCTAAGGCAATGTAAAGAAAGATGAAAGAAAATTAAACGGTGAGAAAGATAGTACCGCTGAGCAGGACACGAATTAAGACGACGAAGAATTTAATAGGAAGATCGTCATCCATGACCTCGACTTTAATAAAATAAGAAATAGGTAGCAAAAAAGGCGATCTGTTGAATTTGATTTAACTTTATGTTTTATTCCAGAACTTGGACAATTGGAAGTCGTCGCGACGGAAGCGTGTGGAGCATATCATCGAGCGGTGCGTGGAGGTGCGCCGCATGGAGAACGAGCCGTGCCAACCTCGTGGCAAGTCCAAGACTTTCAACGAAATGTTAGAGGAGAGGTGAGTGATCTATTTAAAACTTTAATAATCCTATGATTGCTACATTTCGTTGAGAAAGGAGTTTTGTTCAGATTTGAGCAGTAGCAGTAATAATACGAGAAATTTATATTTCATAAAACATCTGCAATTCTCTTGTAATACAATTGGTAATAGATTCTTTAAGCTATACTACGTTACGAGATCTCTGGCCTTCATTATTAAATTTTTCAACAGAAAAGTCTTTACCGAATTCCATCCACAATATAGAAATTATTCTATAGTATATTTAATTTTCAAAACTCTTGACATTTTTCCCCTTCATTTAGTTTGTACGTAGGTATACAACTTAATTTCGCTACATTCACATCATACTAACCCAATAACATATTACATTAATATTATCATTGATATCTGTTATTATTTCGCCAAAATTTCTTAATGTAATCGCAATAATTCAAATAATTGACTAATTACGATCGCGCCCTTGATTGCCAATCATTTTCATGATATTGCACCATGAGTACAATTTCTACATAAAAGTAATCGCAGTTTAGTTATTAACATTGCCAACATAAGTCACTTACGATTGGTCACGACTTGTATTTTTTAAGGTCGATATAACGGATGTATTGTAATATGTTATCAAACGCCATAAAAGCTAGTTCAAAAGTCGGATGGGTAATATTAATAGTTAGTGCTTTATTGAATATCTTGTGTAGTGAAATAAGAAGAATGACGTTCGTTGTGATTATTCGAATTCGAATAACATTTTCAAGGAAAAGAAAGACAAGGTAAAAGATGTAACCCTGTGTCAGCGAGATCCGTTAATGCAAACAAAAAGAAAGCTTCTTATGGCTCAAGTAATGAGACATTATTTACACCAGCAGATGTGGAACAACGAATTGATATATTTTCAGAAGTTCGAACTTCACGGGAGTTAGAACATTACCATATAATTCATATTTAAATGCGCTGCCTGCGTGTGCTGGGGAACAATATGACCAGACACATGTATCACTTAGATATTAACTCGTAGCATATTTGATAGCCAACATAGGAACCGTATGCCTGGCATAGATAACAAATAAACTACTTTGGTCACAAATTTAGTAGATAAAGTGTCCTGTTCTATAAATGAGCAACAACCAATCTGACACGAAACTATAAAGAAAATACAGATGGAGATCATCGTAATTTGCAATACTACGACAAGGTGTGAAAGTATCTTCACCTAACGCGCTAAAGAGTATATTTAAGATAAGCCCTTGTATACATACTCGTATATCTGAACCGGTTTTTGAACGAATAAATTTGCATTAATCTTCAGCAATTAGTCATAGTCCAGTTTCTCAGAAAGATGGCAGTGTTACTATTATAGTCTTTGTAAACTAGATTTGTATCACTACAGTAATTAACTGTGAATAATTACCGGTTACACAAGACTCGTCATTTTAAACTACACCGACCTGAAACACTGCATAACTTGTATATAATATTATGTTAAGATTGTTCTTTTTCTCCTGTTTGCGAATGTAATAATTATTCGAATGATGGCAACAGTTTATTTTGCTATAGATTTTTAATTGCTTTAATTGTTTCAGTAATTTCAAAGTCTTTTCCAACTATGACTTTTCTATGCTGATATATTAGAAGTTTGATTCTTTATTAAATGTCTAAATTTGTACTATTTATGTCTTGTAACATAACAAAGAACTTGTAGCTTTTATATGCTGCTCTGACTCTTCCACGCGATTCTCTAACATGTTGTAACGTCATAAGAACTTTAAACGTTTTGTTGGCTATGCGGTCGTTTGTACAACAATATCGATGTCATTGACTCTTGTTCGGTTGCAGTTTCTTTTTATGACAATAAATGTTTATATAGGATGTTGATTTACGAACCCTCAAGAAGTTGTTGCACTGAATGAGGTGGCATATTCTTTGTTTGTTATGCTCGGTTGTTTGTGGATTGCAAAAGAATATAACTCTTTAGTGTATAATATTTTTTAGCAAATACAAGAGGTACATTTACATTATATACTTTTTTAGTTAACAGAAAAAATATTTGCGTTGATTAAGTGTCTCACATCAATCTCTTATTGTCTTGATTGATAGATTGTATTCTCCCTATGTGATTCTGTTTCCATCAAAGACCCGAGTTCCATCTGTGGTTACAGATGATTCTTAAATAAAGTCTGATGATTTAAGAAAAAAATTCCGAAGAAATCATTTTCGAAAAGAAAATGCATATAATATGATAGTACCTATTATAGATAGGGTTTAATGTTAATGAAAGTTCTCTAAAGAAAAGCTACTTTCAAAGTATCGGTTACACGTCCGTTGCGCTTGGCGGTTAAATCACGAGTGATTGGATTACCCGACTTACATGCCCATGTGCAATTGTGCATATTGTAAGATTTAAATTAATAAAAGATTAATGTTTTATTTTCATCTTTATAAATCACTAAGATATTCCACCAGCCACAGCAATTTTTACTTTTGGCTATAAGATGATTTAAAAAAACATGATTTCGCTTTAAATTCTTAGGCAATATTTAACATGGAATTGAAGGTGTCTACCAATTAGGAAGTTAAAAAAAAAGTTCCCGAAATCAAACTACCCTTCCGGTTTTCTTACATGTATAAAAATAAACTAATTTTCGAAACTCAATTAACACATATTCTATTTACTCATCATACATATACTTTTTCGTATTTGTATTGATATCTAAGTTCCGAACTTTGCAAATTTCAGTTTTTTATATGTTACTTAAAAGGAACGGAAATGACTATCTTTAGTCCATTCGTTTCCTCTAAAAATCAACTTTTGCTAGTCGCCATCTAGTGAGGTGCTTTTTAGTGCATTCTTTTTTTAATACTTCCTCATTCTTTAAAACTGTTACGTTTAGAAAGCTGTCACGAATCGATTTATATATTTACTTAATAATAGGATGACCCTTCGAGAAACGTTTAAATTGTACTGCATTTTAACAATTGTTTCATTTTGCGTAAAAAAGATCTTACATTTGACGTAATCATACGGTTCTTAAACTAAAACAAAATAACACAGAATGTTTCAAAACTTATAAATACTCTCCTTTGGACTAGATTACATAATTCCAAATCAATTATCTTTTTCATCAACGCCGTGTCTGTTGTTACGTCATCGGACGTCCGGTCTATAAATAAGAAAAAGAGTAGACCCAATTAATTATGTATGATTCTGATAATTACATCGCAAAGTTAATCGATTAACACAATGATGAATTAGAGTATGACAAGATTATTTGTTCAACGGTCAGTGATTAAGTTCAAATTGATTTAGTCACTAAATAAGACAGTCAAAAATTCACTTTATCGTACGTATGAAGGGGAAACATAACGGACACCATTTCAATAAAATATGTATTTATTAATGAGATTGTTTTTAGTATTATCAATTAGAATGCGAGTTCATTTATAAAAAGAATTATGAAAGAATTCAAAAAGCCTTAATTTAATTTGGAAAAAAAAAGGTTTTTCCAGACGCTCTTCTTTCCATTATATATATATATATATATTAAAAACATAAAACCATATAACTTTTCCAACGTAAGCAATAACTACATGCACTAAGAATTTCACAGAGTGCTATTTAAATCAGCATAGTAATTAAACTAAATATATCTGCAGTTTCGCCCATGAATTCTCTGTGTACGTCTAGTTTTACCGCTAATACATCACTCGTATCAACAGCAAATGTTTCTACGTTCTTCTGTACATTATCGCTTATTAGTAAGAGTTGTACCAAACATCCTGCCTCGGTTTCAAATAACAGCTTTACTAATTGTATTTTCTCAGAAATACCTTTTATTACTACCACTTTATCAATTGAATTTTTATTTAAACATACTTTGATTTGATTTAGTAAAATATATGCATTCATTTCTCTCTAATATATAATTTTGAAACCTAATCGAGAGAATTTCATATCGCATTTGCGTTCAGAAAATCCATTAAATAGTTCTGTTTTATGATATTCGATTGTAAGTCCATAGGTAACATGACTTTAAAGGTAATAATTCAACTTTCCCTGTTCATTACTTCTGATATATGATCTAAATGTAACAATATACTTCCCCGCTATTGTTCGAAGCCACACTGACCCCATTCGGGTTTGCCCGTGAAATGGTACGATTACCATCTCATTTGAATTCTTAGCCAACCCCGCCCCCCTTTGTGTCATTGCATTCATTCATTATATATGTGGATCTGACACTGGCATTGAATTGTGTGTCCTTAGCATAAAATATGTAATGCCTACTCTTTTATATGTGCCATTTTGTTTAATTTTTTGGGTTAGTAAAAGCTCTCGGTGTCGTATTAATCATTCTCTACTCGATGCGCATTAGAATTTGTTGTCTATACTAATATTATAAAGCTAAAGAGTTTGTTTGTTTGTTTGAATGCGCTAATCTCAGGAACTACTGGTTCGAATTGAAAAATTCTTTTTCTGTTTAATAGACCATTTATCGAGGAAGGCCTTAGGCTATATAACATCACGGTGCAACTATTAGGAGCGAAGAAATAATGGAAAACGCAGACGAAGTCGCTGGCGGCCACTAGTATTAGATACGTGTACTACATTAGTTTTGTACATTCGGATACAAATGAGGATGATACCTTATTGTAATCAGATCACATCACAAGATAATTTACTGTGAAGATCTTCAAAATATGGCTTTATCTTATTCAGCATGGAATATTTAGCAATTTCTTATTGTTGTGTTCACAACTACCTACTAAATCCAAATCGTAAAATTTTGTGTATGCATGATGCAAATAAAGAATTTATCTATCTATCTATCTATCTACCTACATATTATAAACAAATGGGTAATCTTATAACTTTGCCATCACGACTTACTTTAGATTATGCATTTTGTATGTATTTCTCGTCCCACACACTTAATAAAGTAGCCAATAGTGTTATGAAATCTGACACCTTCAACATTACGTTACTGTTTACAACTTAACAATAT